ATCGATAATCCGGAATCGCCGAAGTCCCGACGAGTCCGGATTAACGACTTTTGACTGTAGTAAGACCCTTTCTGGAAAATCACTCTTAGGGGCTTTAAAAATGTATTTCCTTGAAAGTGTTCACTAAGCCTCGGTAGGAGTGTTTCTACTCATTTCTTTAGTTTTACCTGAACTAGCTTTACAATTTTAATGTCACTCAACTCGGTATTGAAAGTTCGGTACTGTTCTGTTATCAGGACTGGATTCAGAAATGTAATGAATGTATACATGTGTGTATGTATGTGCATATGTATAAACAGCACACATACGTTTACACATCCATCCATACATACATACATACATACATTTCTTTATCTGGTCCTGATAATATAAAAGTACCAAAATTTTTATAAAATGATACATGCTGTAACACATAAAATTCAGTAAGTGACCACAAATTCAAAATTAAATAAATTATACAATAAATAAAATATTACATTCATTTTGCATCAAATAAATAAATAAGTAAATACAAATAATATTTAAAGTTGCAGAAATACGTAAAAGCAAAATTAAAAGCATATAAATGCAAGCATTTATAAAAATTTATGAAAGTAATAGGATGTCAGAGATCCAGAATCATCATGACTTCGGTGATTTTAGATTTTGGAAATTTCCAGATTTTAGATTATCAGGTTAAATCTAATAAGATAACATATAGAAATTATAAAATTAAATATATTAAATAGTTATTTAGGAAATAATAAAACATTTATGATCTTAAATGAATCAAAATATTTGTTTGTTTTATAAATACGAGGGCTATCCAGAAAGTAGATTACGTTTTGGAATAAAAAAATAAACAAAGTATAGGAAACAAATTTTATTATATACAGATGAAAGCCACACTCAAATACTACTTTTCTACATAGTCACCATACAAATTAAGGCATTTATCATAGCGATGTACGAGCTTGGAAATTCCTTCGTCAAAAAATTCGGCCGCCTGCGCCTTCAACCACTTCGTTACCTCTTCTTGCAGCTGTGCGTCGTCATCAAAACGCATTGATTGCAATTTCGTTTCACAGTTCACATGTTTCACCCATGTTTCGTCACCAGTAACGATGCGATCGAGTAAAGAGTCACCATCCTTATGGTAAGCGTCCAAAAAGTTCAACGCGCTGCAGCCATTCGCTGATTTTTGTGGTCCTCTGTCAAGATTTTTGGAATCCATCTTGCACAAAACTTGTGGTAACCAAGCTTTTTTTTCGCTGATGATTTCGTGCAACAAACTTCGCGAAATTTGTGGAAAACTCAAAGAAAGTTCCGTTATTGTGAAATTTCGATTTTCACGGACTTTAGCATCGACTTTTTCGAGAAGTTCGGCGGTCACTATGCTGGGTCTCCCACTTCGATCTTCGTCGTGAACATTGGTTCGGCCATTTTGAAATCTTATGACCCACTGACGCACTCCACCTTCAGTGATAATGTTGTCCCCATACACTTCACGAAGCTGCCGATAGATTTCTATCGGTTTACAGTTTTTTGCAGTCAGAAACCTTATTACTGAGCGCACCTCGCAGCTCGCGGGATTTTCAATTAACGCAGACATTTCAAACCGTCACAGTATCTGAACGGAGCACAGCACGAACCTCTCACTAGCACGGCTAGATGCAGACTGAGCAGCTGCGCAACGCTCTGACCCCAAGATGGCCGCGCTAGCCCCGCCCCTAGCGGACACAGACGGAAACGTAATCTACTTCCTGGATGGCCCTCGTATCAAATATTTGTTTTTAAACATTTCTTTCAATGTAATTTTTGTTTAAGCTGTTTTTTGTTCTAATATGTTCTTTCTAATTTTAGAGATGAGAATAATTTTTTCTTTAGTTACAAAGTTCCATTATTCAAGTCTTGTAATTGCCATATCACGAATTTCTATTAAACCAGCATTTCTTAAACTGTAGGTAACAATCTCAGTCGAGGTTGGAAAAATTAATTCAGATACATGCATTTAGAGAAAGTATATTAATGGTATTTTTAAAGAAATTATATCAATTGACAATTAGGAGATTAAACACCTACCATATAAATCCCGAAACGAATTTGTTTAGCTGTCGAGTGATTCAGATTTAAAATCTGAGTTTCCACAAAAATCCGTGACTGAATTTGGTATTGGAACTAGTATTCCAATCACAAAATTTTTGAAATCACATTAAATGTTCTGCCATTCAAGCATCACATACTTACATGAAATGACTTTTCCAGCTTTAGCATTTATTAAATTCAGATATTGAAAGCTGAAAAACATTGGAGAAGTATTATGCTAAGCAGTGTCAAATATTACACCAAGATATTAATTTTTTATGCACCAAAAAACAAGCAGATCCATCTCATTAAAATGTGATTTTCTTTTGACTAACCTTTGGCTCTTTGATGTGTGCAATATTATTTTCATAATTTTTAACAAAAAATTTCTAGAAATTGAATATTATGATACTAGAGACAAATAATATATGAATTTAAAAAAATCTGCTGTTCCCCATTGATCTGTTGTTGGTAGTCGCACTAAGAAACCAGCGCGCATCTAGGACCATGAAACTTACTGAGGTAGTAGTGGCAAAAACTTACCTTTTTCCATGTGCATTTCCAATAAATGATAAAATTTGCGAATTTAAAAAAAAATCTAATTTAAAAAAATGCATTATATGTAAATTTTTTGCATTATTTTACAAAGTGAATCGTCAGGAAAAATTTAAAAATAAACATTTATGTCAGTAAAGTAATAATTTAAAAAAAGGAGGGGGGGAAACCACCTAGTTTTTTTTTTTTTTTTTTTTTTTTTTTTTTTTTTTTTTTTCTATAAAGAAGAAATTTTTTGTGACTCTCTTCAAAGCATGTTTTGTCTTTTTGGTATATGTGTAGACCACATTGCACGATTCGCACATGTATCTTGTTCTATGAAGTTTCTCCCTTGTGCTACAAAATGTACACTGGCTGGATTTGCATTTTACTGGGTCTTGGTTATTTAGTCTCTTTTTGAAGGGGGGGGGTCTTGGTCTTTTTGGCTTTGGTACGGATCTTTCTTTTCCTATTCGTATTTCATCCCAAAATATTTTTAATTTAAATAAAACTTATATGCGATTTCTCTTTTTAATTATAGCAAAGTGTACCTTATATTATATAATCAAAGAAAGCAAGTGTGTTAAGATGAGAGAAAAATCTATGGGGAGGGGGAAAACTTTTTCACTGGTGCAAGTAATAAAATAACTCTGTTATTTCAAAGCCCTTTATCTATGTCCATGAAAAAAAAAAAAAAAAAGAAAAAAAAAAAAAAAATTCCTATTTGAAAAGCAGCAAACACCATTGTAAAGAGCAGTGGTTTCAGGGCATGACCACTGAGCCTCTAGAGGATAATGAGCATTGTGACACAATGTTCTAGTGGATCAGTGGTTTCGCCCTGAAACCAGAAAGCAAATGCCATAAATATACATAGGCTTTTTATATATGCAGTTTAATTATTGCTATTTTTTATTGTTTATGATATAAATAATGCTGTGCTATGAATAACTTTGGAAATTTAAAGTTATATTAATAAAAGGAAGTTATTTTGTTTCATTGAAAACGAATTTTAAAAGGCATTTGATTTGAAGTACTAAGACCTAAAAAATGTATGATTCTGCAATCATTTTGTGTTATTTAGAGGTAAAAGATCAGTAATCAATCAGTTTTTCACTCAAAAATTTCAGAAGGAAGAAGAGAAAAAAATTCGAAAATTGGTGGTTTCAACGTGCAACCACTGCACATCAAAGGGTTAAACAGGTGAAACAAATCTTAGAATTATTACTCTCCGTATGTATACTGTTTACCAAAGAAATAAATTACTTACGGCAAAATATTAATTGCTTTATTATATATTTAATATCTAGGGTTGTAAAAAAAAATTCGATGATAAGAAAGGAGTCATGAATAAAAACATTTAAGAAGAATTGCACTAAACTATCAACTGAAATCTTTTCGTTTTCAAAAACCTGTTGTCATTTTCTTCAGTATCGGTAGTGTAAAATCATATATAATTTCTCTGTCCATTAGTTGCTTGGGGCATTGCTATCATAATAGAAAACTTCTGTTTTATCATCCTTATTTATTATCAGTTCTCCACATTTTTTCCACAAATTTCAGTAATCAAAAATTTTTGCCTTCTATAATGTTCAAAATATAAACCAAAATAAGTTTTTTTTTTGGGGGGGGAGGCATTTTCTCTCGCCAAGGCTGATATAGGAGGAAAGTACCAAATAAGCGTTCACTTTGCGGAACCTGCTGCAGCTCCAAAATTAGAAACTTACTTTTTATATAATGGAAACTTCACATTTTAATAGTTATAGTCTGTAAAAACTATTAAACTGGATCAAATTAGAAAGTTACAGAAGAGTGCAATTTGTTATATTGATTGAACTTAAGTTCTTCAGGCTTTAATTCTTTCTCTCTTTCCTGCTGCAATGGAAAACAATGAAACAAGTATGAGCAACATACCACTCCAAATAATATGCCTTGGGGTTTCACTTATTATTTATGTGAGATAGAAAAATGTTAACCCTCCCCTTTGCAGCCAATCAAGGGCTGAAAGCGTAGTCTTGGCTAACATCAACCAATGTATTATCATTGGCCACTTTGTGATTCTCTAACCAGCTCAAGTTTGAAAGCGACATACTGGAATCTCAGTTAGTAGGGAGAAAAATTGCTTTTATGACTTCCCCCTCTTTCCCAAAAGATTGATGTTTTCCATAGTAATGTGTTTTCAAAGTAGTCAGTTTATAATTTCATATTAAACTAGTCATTTGTTCTTATTGATTATTGACTAGATTTTTAATGAATATCTACACATAAAACTTTCAGCAGTTTAGAGAATCTTGTTTTACATTCTGTAATAGCAAGATTTTGGGGGAGGGGTTAGTGATAATAATAATAAATGAAGCATCAAAGATTGGTTTTATAATTAATGAATGATATATTTTTTCTTTTAGATAAGAGAAGCTGCTGGTCTGATTCTAGATTCTGTTTTATTAGAGATTCAACGACGTGCATATGGTGGAGCTGCTGAAATACCACTACTGCATTTTCTTAAAAGTCATGTTGCTGATTTAATTACTTGTTTATCTAATCCAGATACCAGTAAAGCTAGCTGGGTTTTAAATCTGTTAAAGCTTATCTGTTTCCACGGTGAAGATCCAGCAACTGTGTTTGTTCTTGGATTCTTGTTAAGTAATGTTGAAGGATCTGCACCCTTTGTCAGTAATATTTATACAGATATCCGAATGCATCAACCAAATGCCCTTTGTTCTACAATTTCCCATGAGATGGCAGAGTTGAAATCAAACAGAATTGAAAAACCAGTAACTCTGATACAAAACATCACTAATCTATGTCAAAGAGAACAGTGGCATACTTTAGTAGCTCAAGGTATGTCTCTTAATTTAGAAGTATTGGCTGGACAAGTAAATAGCAGAAATACTGATTATTCAGATGCTGTTGTAGAACTTCTTTCCATTTGTGTTAATCCCAAACAGATGCCAATGAGTTCTCTTTTTATTGTGTGTTCATCTGTTGTCAATTATTTTTTTCATCTTTTAGGCAGGGAGAATTTGGATTTGGTTATTAAGATTACTTTAATTAATAATGTTAAAAGTTTACTATCAAATTTATGTCAGCAATCTTCCGCGCAGCATGCTGTCATTCGCATGCTTTTGGAAGGTATAATCGATAAAAAGTATGCAGTGATATTTGGATCAAAAGGGCAGCCTGATTTAAAAAATACACCCAGTCCTACTTATCTCTTGAATGAAAATGTGAAATATCTGTCATCCATTACTCTTCCACAAAGTCATTCTTCAGTTTTTCATTCTGGTATTATTGGTTCTGGATTAAGGGTTGCTAATAGGAAGCAAAAGATGGCTAAAGACATTGTGATGCTTAATAAGCAAGTAATACTTGATGTTATACAGGCATGTTGTAAAGCATCTTGGCGATTTCCCCTGGATGAAATTTCAAATTCAAATATGTCACTGATTCCTGGTATGAAGATTGTTTCTCTGCTTATGGTAGAATTAATATCACCTGATGTGATGTTTAATGGTTTACCATGGCCTGATGAAGATTATTTAAAGGTAAGTAAATAGGTCTGTGTTTTGAACCAAAATTCACATTATCAAATTTGATTTTATATGATTTTCTGACATCTGATATGCAAAAAGCATTTTGATAAAGCTATTTTTGCTGTTGTATGCTAGGAATATTATCAAATAAGATGGGAAATTTTGCTGCTGTAATATGTTTTTATAAAGCAAATTAGTTTTGCATTATTTATCTACGAGTTTTTTATTTTAAACATAATAGTAAGAATATTTGATCTCTTCTAGGAATGCATGATTCTGGAGTTCCATATAATTCTCATAAATGAGTTCCATATAATTAAGACATAATTAATAATTATTTTGGGTATTTTCTCATTATCTGCATCCTCAGTGAAAAATTGCAAACTCATAGGCAACTTTCAAGAGTATTCTTGAACTCTGGAGAGAAACTTTGGTTTGGGTATTCTTGTGTCTGTTTCGATGATGCATCCAAAAGCCTCTTGTTGTTTTGCATTTTTCTTTTTTTCATAGAAGACACATATACTTCTTGGAAATAATTATACTACATGATAGTTGTGTTTGGAGAGTCTTCTTCACAGAATTTCATTGACATATATTCCTTTGCCCAGAACAGCTGTTGTAGACTATCTGGAAACAAGTTTCTGACCTGCATTCTGTTACTTTGCTTGCAATTTACCACATTGCAGTTCTATATGTAATTTGATTGTTTAAAAATTAAAACTGTTGAATTTGTGTATTTTTATTATTGGGTAAAATACCATATTTCTGAAGGAATGCAATGCATTCTTTTCTATGAGCTGATAAACTCCACAGTCACATAAGATTTGTTGTGACAAAAACGAATGAACTTGGTGCAAAAACCAGAAATCAGACTAATCAGAAAAATCAACATTGAATTTCAAAAGTGCAAATCCAAGTGTATTCAAATACATGGGGATTACATATATGCGTACCGGAGTCACTATGTGAGTGATTTTTGCTGATTATGCTGTGTTAATTCATCAATACCTTTACTCAACTTTTCAATTGAAGTGCAAATAATCAGAAAGTACAGTAAAAGCCCGACTATCCGGCATTCAACTAACCTTAAAAGCTCAAGTAACCAAAAGTAATTTTAGGGGAAAAAATGAATAAATGATATATTTTTTATGCCATTTTAGAGCTTGTAGTACTATTAACAAGTATACATTCTCACCAGACAGTGTGCTTTAGTGACAATAATGGCATCACTACATAATCACAAGAAATTCATTTTGGTTTAAATTAAATTTGATTAATTTTTGATAAGCTCATTTAATTTTTGTAAAGAAAATTTTAAGTTCTATTTTTCCCTCGTATTTGAAAAAATTATTAATATTTGGTACTGCATAAGGTAACATATTTTTAGTGTTACTAGATCAGAAAAAGTCACAATATATGACTTTGAAGAATGGATGAACAGTGGCGAAGTAATGTGAAAAATTATGATGAGTGATTTAAGTTTTTTGTGTGCTATATCTGTATTTTTTTGTTGAACTAAATAAAGAATCATTTCTGCTGTACAAACTTCATGTTTGGTGGGATTTCATAATCGGATGAGGCTTATGAAATACACCTTTTATATAAATAAAATGCTTTTTTTCTTCCCTCAAAATATAAATTTTAAATGTAGGCTTTTAATATTCATGTTGATAAAGAAATTATTGTTTTTATAATTTTAGATCAGAAATTTTTCCCATTTGGCCTTCTTTTAATGTGAATTCCATTTTTTATACACTCAACTATCCAACTGATAGGATTATAGCAAAATGCTTCAGTGTGAATGGTTTTGGTATTGTCATATTTTCAATGAAAAGAAAGTTTATTTTCTATTTTATTATATTAGAAATAATATAAATGAAATGGTAATGAAAATATCTGCTAACTATTATCATCATTATGTTGTAATGTTTTAGTCGTTATTTATTGCTGTACTTTTGAATTTTTTTTTAACATAAAAAATATAATGATTTAAACTAATACTTTTTTTTACAATTTCAATTTTAGATTTATCAGTAAAGTAATATTCACAGTTTTTCTGCTTATTTGCAAGGCTAAATTTTAATCCAAAAGTGTTATTGTTATATACCAATCTTCTACAGTGACAACCATCATCATTCTACATCCATCATAATTTCACAGTGATCATTATTTACTTTAAATGTTATTTCTTTGATTTTGACAAATATGTAAGTCTGTTTAAATGTTCCCAACTCAAAAGAAGTATCCCTAGTGAAACAAATATGCCATATGTGGAATAATATGATTCTTCTTTTAAAAGATTAAAATTTTCAGTTCATTGAAATATATTTATTATTGATTAAAGAATATAATATTCTGTGAAAAAGGGACATGCCAGTAATAGTTTTAAAATTTTCTCAAAAATATCTATTTACTGGAGTGGTACATTTTATCTATTTACAGGGTGGAGGAGTATTTTCTGAATATTTGCACTTCTTTTTCGAAAAGTCTGCAACCATTAGCAACTAATTTTTTGACAAGTGAAGATGTGAAAGAGAAAAGCCATTTTCAAAAATGGCAGCACACTAAGAATTACACAAAGCAACAGTCAGTTAATAAAATTAAGCACGCAAGAAACATTCACAATAAACACTTCCCTCCCCCTTTCCTCATTGTATACATAGGGATTTATTTCACCTTCAAAAAACATGCAATAAATGAACAAACTGTTGTTGTCCCCTGCATAGAACAATCTGTTTTCGCTTAAAAACTATCAGGATTGCATAAATTGTTTCCATAAAATTCAATCTGTTACAAAGTATGGGTTAATCGAATGCAAATTTTTTTATTCCCTTTTTACTATTGGACAAAACACCATATTTCTGAAGAAATGCAATGTTTTCTTTTTCATCATCTGACAAACTCCACAATCCCATTACAATTCCTTATAAGAAAAAAAATATGCAGTCAATGGATTAAAAATAAATTCTAATGACTGTTGTTTACTTCATGCACTAACATAACTGGGTTGCCATATAAATATATTTTAGCAACATTGCGAGTTATCTGTTTTGGCAAAAGTAAGGATTGCCTCAGGAATACTTTTCAGGGGTGTGTAGATAATCATAAAGTATCCCAAAATTTAAAATTATGAAAAAGGAATTACCATTTCCAGGCTTGCATACAAATATTTGATTTGTGCAATATTGTAGTTATTCATTGATTCATGAATATGAAGATTCACTATATCCATTGCTTCTTAAAACCTCTTTGGCAAGTTAGGAATTGCAGCATTATTGGGAAGAGTAAATCATTAAAATACAAATCTTAGTCTTTTTCTGACTGATAAAAGCATACATGATGCATTGTACACCGTTTGTGAGTGCTTGAGTAATGTGCTACAAGTACTTGTTCAAGAACGATTAATTGCTCAACACATGATAGTCTAGTTCTTGTCATGTGTATACCAGCCTTATCTGAGTTGAATAGACTATACTGCTTATATTTTCTTTACTTTGAGTCCTGTGGAAGTATGAGTACAAAGACAAATATGGATATCTACGAATAAGGATACAAAAGAAAAAAATAGAAAGCATTTGATGTGGGAGGCCTGAACATGAGTAGCATATTATTTGAATCAGCATGGCTGATGGAGATAATCAAAATAAAACTAATCAGAACGGAAGATAATTGAGCTGCTTTTTTGGTTTAAAATATATCATCCATAACTTCTAGTCAAGTAATGCTATAAGCCAGGGTTTCTTACTTTTTTCAGTCGCGACCCCCTTTTTATCACTGAGATTTTTTCGCGACCCGCAGGACCCCGTAATACTTACAAAAATTTTGTGGGACCTCATAAGTATTGTGCAAATTCAACACACGCGTGAGTGAAACTGTCAGTTTTTTCACTTGTACTGTAATATATTATTGCAGTTTTAGGTCATTAATTTCTAATTTTCAGACATAGAACAATGTGAAAATTTTAAATAAGTAACAGACAAAATGACAGCTCCACGTGAAAGCAAGTAAAATAAACGTTTATATTATAAAAAGAATGCGTCAAAACAATTTTTTCCCTTTGTCTGTATTGTCTTGTCTTTATGTATTTTCAGATACATTGTGTAAAAATATTTGATAATTGTAAATATAATAAGTTAAAGAAATATCAAAACTGCTAAAATTTTTGGTGCCTTCCTGGTGCAGGTTGCGACCCACAGTTTCAGAAACCCTATTATAAGCTATAGTTTAGGTAGCTAATTAACCAGTTCAGCTGTTAGAATTCAGTTTATTTAATCTGATCACGTGCATTAAGCATTCAGTTCTCTTACCTATTAGTTGGGCAAGCTGTATTGCTGAGTGAGTTGTGACAGACCACACAGAGGTAAGAAATTCATGTGTGCGGTCTGCTCACAAGTAGCAGTCAGGTAATTTTAGCAATCTGCACTGTGTCTGTCTTCAAGGTCTTGAATTCAAGAGGCCATTTAGTGAATGACCTTATATCTTCTCTGTTATTGCCTTCAACTATAATGAATCAGAGAACATAGAACTGAAAGATTAAAAAGGCAAGACTAATTTGTAAACTGTTTCAGATAGAGCAAGTACTCAGAACACTGTAAGACTCTTGAGTAGAGAAACTGTTGCTGCTAGGGAGATCCTCAGATATTGTGCTTATTGTTAAGGATTAATAACTTATGAATGATTTGTTTCTATGCATTGTACATGAATTGTCATTATTATATTGTCAATAGAGCTTAGATTAATAGTAAATGTGTTTTTAGTTCAATATGCAATTATATACAGCCTAACCTAAATGCAAATCAGTCAGCTACCACTCACTATATGGAATCGCTCCAATGGTGCACCAGTCTTCAGAGTAAAGAAATTTCTGTATTTCTGAAGTTTTATGCAATCAGTTAATCACTAATATAATTTGTTACATACAACCATCTTAAATATGTGCTTAAGTACACGTTTAATCTTTTAAAACTATGTGTTTTCTATGAAAATTGGACTATAAAACTTACAGTGTTGTTATTTTATTTTGAACATATTACCTTAAGGAGAAATGGGAATTATTCCAAATTTTATGATGAAATTTGTGTTCCTGTATTATTTATTAGTTGCCATTATATACTTTTTTTTTTTTTTTTTTTCTTCATAGGTTACAGTTGAAAGAGATTTGCATATAAAGAGAATGTTTGAAGATCATAATATTCTGTGGGATTTATTATCTTTAGTTGCTACTGTTCACCCATCTCTTTGTTATTGTAGTGTCCTTTTGAGAGCAGTTATGGCTGTCCTCCTCTCATTTTGGTGCAGTAGCCAAGAAAAAATGACAACAAATTCTCCAAAAGAACTAGAAACTAGCCAGCGCCTTATTAATATAATGGCAATGGGTCAGCTCTTGCCTCCACCATTATCTTATATTGATGAAGTTTTGCCCTTTATCACTCCTTATGAAGCATTTAATTTACTATCTGATATTTGGCAGTATATGAGAGATAATGTACCCAGCCCTGCATTATTTTATCCTAAAACATCAAATTCTGCAAGAGTTTGGAGAGATTTCCAATGTGATGGTAAAGAAGGTCAAAGACAATTTTGTGATAAAAAATATACCAACCGATTAAGGTTTATTTTATTTGCAAATATTGAAAAGTTTGGTGCTGTATATGCTAAATTTTTCCCCATTGAATAGACAGAGCTATTATTTTTACTTTGTCATCATATCATGCAATTTTAAAACATCTTGTATTCGGACGTTAATTAATGCTTTTAACTATTGAAACTGACATTTTATCCTTTTCATCCTCCTTTCTGAAGGAAGTTTCGATTTATTGATCATGTGTTATATAATAATAAACTGTTGATGACTTTGAATTGTTTAAGAAATTCCATTAATTATGTAATTTTTTAAGAAATTACATTAATTAGTATGCATTAAAATTATAAATTTTTAAAACATGACAATATTTTAGTTTTCTCCTCACAAGTAATTTACATTTTATGTATTTAAAAAATGGTAATAGCTGAATATTTTTCAAACTGCCAGTTTCTTATATTATGGAGGATACTGACAAATAAAAATGCTTCTACAAATATTTTTTCCCCAAATACATGCAAGAATGAATATTAATTAAGTAGGAAAGTAATTTACATTTGATAAAATGACATTATATTTTATGGTAATTTTTTTAACAGTGCTTCATTTTAACAGTGCTCAATATGTGATAGTGCTTCTTGTTTAAATATAGTGACAAAAGTTCAAGATTAATTTAATTTCCTGTGATATATCAAAGTAAAATTCATTAGGCTCACTGATGTGGCGAAGTGTAGTAAGACATTCAAATTGGAGAACACTGGTCATTTCAAAGTGTTGTTCATTGGTGACTAACTGATTGAGGGTCAAATACAATGGACAGTATAGTAAATTTTGTTAGGTATTTAAACTAAATCACAACATTGCTGGTCTATGCAGTCATCAATGATCTACAGCTTGAGGATTACTTATTCACTAGTATGGAGCACAGCAATAAATCAAGATATATTTAACTTGATGGTCACCAGCATCCTACAATTACAATTGATATTTTCCTTCAATTTATCAATTTTTCTAAATTTATCATTAAAAGTTAAATTGAACTACCACACCAGTAGCTGTATGATTACCAGAAACCATGTCTCAGGAATCCTTTGGTTCAATTTTATTAAAGAAAAATTATCTAAATTTATTCCACTTCCTATGGGTTGATTTGCACTGATTATCATTTTGTGGATATTGGGAACCAGTCTTCATGGGAACCAGACTACTTATATTTAATATTAATAAAATATATATGCCTACATTAAGTGCACCAATAGTCCTTTGGATGATCAACAGTGACCATCAACTTTTAGATCACTTCCAATCCAATAACTTTGATAGGTAATCCTGATTTAATTTAAATATATGTAGTATATGAATTTACTGCACTTATTAGTTAACTGCAAATGGCTTTGAGACTCTATATCAGAGGTGGCGAACCTTTTTAACATGAGAGGCCACATTTAAATTAGCCAGTAATAATTTTTAATAAACAACTGCATATATTTAAATACTCTTCAAATGAAAATAATAAAAGAGAAATATTTTTCAATAAATTTAATACATTATAAAGAAAAACAGGAAAAAGTAATAGTATTAAGTAATAAAAAACCAACATAGCAACAGTATGTGAAATGTAAAAATCCGATAGATTTTTTTTTTTTTTAGTGGGATATTTGCATTTCTTGCCTGAAAATAATTGAATATCTGGATCAAGCTTCGCAACGTTCAGCCTTAGGTCCTCTAAATGAGCATCTGTAATTTGTGTTCTTAAACTAGTTTTAATTTTTGTCATGACAGAAAATGTTGACTTGAAGCAATAACTACTTCCAAAGCAGGAAAGTAAACAGCGTGCATGCTTTCATAGGCGTGAATATTTAACAGCATTTTTCCAGATATGTATGGTATCCTTTTTAGCATCAAAAAGAGATTTGAGGGTATTACCTTCCCATAACTGAAATAAGTCCTTTTGTATTTCCATAGGAGCTTTAGATGTGTATACTAAATGTGGTTCAAATGCCAATTTCATAGCAAAAGTGTGCTAGTCAAAATCTGAAAAATCTTTCAGTATATTCTTCTATTAAAAAATGCAAGACACCTACATATTCATCGAATGTTTTATTTTTACATTTTTGCTCATTCAGCATTTTTGCTAGCTCCGGGAAGTATTTTGCAGATATATTGCAAAAAAGGAATGTTTTGAAAAAAGTTAATTTCTTTTTTCTGAAACGTTTGAATCTTTTGTCTCATATCATATATATATGCTTCGTTTTACCTTGCAGGCAAATATTTATATTGTTTTGTCATAATATCAGACAAAAGTGCAATATTTCTGCAAAATGCTTCATCTGGAAGATAACATAGTTTTCCTTGTTCTTGATAAAAGTTTAAAATTTGTCCTCGTAAAATTAAAACTTTTATCAAAACCTGTCCTGTGGATAGCCCACGAACATTGCAGTAGTACGGTAGATCGACACTGTACGTTTCCACGTCTAAATTTAGCATCTGCCGAAATTCACAATGATGCATTGCATTTACACAAATGTAGTTGATAATCGAAACAGTTCAATCGAAACAGTTCTATCCAGAGTATGTTGCGAAAGGATTATTTTTGTGCAAAGATTTTGCTAATGCAAAATGCAGTGAAATTATATCAATTTTTCCAAGTTTTCCTTTTTTAATAAAAGCAATGAATCTTCCTTTTTTACTTCTCATGGAAGGTGTGCCATCAGTGCAGACACCGACTAAATTACTGCTATTTAATTGTAATCGATGGCATATTTCTGTGAAGTTTTCGAAAATGTCAACTCCGTGAGTTCTTTCAGTTAATGTACCCAGCGCAAGAAGTTGTTCGTAACACTGAAAATCTTTAGTCATAGCACGAATAAAATATAAAACTTACTTCGAGTTAGTTTAATCAATGCTCTAAATCACCTGAAAAATAAGCATCTTCATTCTGTATAATTGTACGAAGTTCCTGTGTTACACTTTCAGCTAATTCGTGCTGCTGATCTGTTATACACTGACTACCAATAAGTATTTGGACACCTGTGATAGAAAAGGAAAACTAACTTTATTCAAAATCAATAGTTGGTAGAGCCTCCACGAGAGGTAATTACAGCGTGGACACTCCGGGGCATACTTTCTACAAGTCTGTATGACAGCTAGTGGTATTCTTCCACTCGGCTTGGCGAAGACATAGAAGATCCTTCACCGATTTTGCACGGGTAGTGCACCCCTGAATTCAGCGATGCAACTCGTCCCAGAGGTTCTCGATAGGGTTCCCAGGTCTGGACTCTGGGCAGGCCAGTCCATTCGATGAACTCCATTGGCACCATACCAAGCCTTGGTTAACGTCGAAACATGACAACTGGCATTGTCTCCTGAAAGTAACAGGGTCCAACCCGTAAAACTGTCACAACGTAGGAAGCACATTGTCATCCAAAATAGTGCAGTAGGCATCGGAGTTGAGCTTACCATGAATGGGGACCAAGGGTCCCAGCCCATACCAGGAGAAACACCCCCAAACCATAATTCCACCTCCGCCGAACTTGACTGTTGGCACAATGCATTCTGGCAGGAGACGTTCTCCAGGTAGACACCAGACCCAGACCCTGCCATCCGAACGGTACAGGGTGAACCTTGATTCGTCACTCCAAAGAAACCGCTTCCACTGATCTACGGTCCAATTTCGATGTGCTTTGCACCCCATTAACCGAGCAGCGCGGTTTGGACTTTGTGATCAAAAGCTTATGGGCAGCAGCACGACCATGAAAATCAAGCAGATGTGCTTCCTTACAGATGGTATTCGTTGAAACAATACTCCCGGATGCCTGTTGAAACTCCTCGTGGATGAGGGCCATCGCTTGGGTGCGGTGGTCTCTATCTCCCAGTTTCGTTGGTCTGCCGACTCGGGGCACATTATGACAATCGCCGCTCACCTTCCACTTCTTAATCACATAGGCCACTGTCAAGTTTGGGTACTTCAGATTGCTAGATATGTCCTTTAAGGATTGGCCACATTTGTGATACCCGATAATTATACCTTTCTCGAAATCAGAGACATCCGAACTGCGAGGCATCTTGCATGCGACTAAAGCCGATGCTGTTTCCTACACGATAGATACCGGCGGAGTCCGTGACGTACCTTAGGACCGCAGATATCGTCATTTGCATTGGTGTCCAAATACTTATATTGGTAGTCAGTGTAGTTCTTGAAAGAGGTATTCAAAAAATGTAGTCCGAATAAGCAATTAAAACATGACTTCAAATCTTTAGAACAATCATTTTCATTTATTTTTAACAATAACAACGGTAAAGAAAAAACTTGTAACCATGGTAACGCTTTGCGACTGCACAGATAGTATCTCAGATGAGTCTCACAGACGATGTGCTAGAAGCACCGCAGAACAAATAAACCCACCTGTACTCTGTCAAGAGTAGCGTCTCGCCCTAGCATTGAAGTTGCTTCACGCATGCGCAATAGGCATATTTTCAGCATGGCAACCTTTGTCGCTTGGCCGAAGAACATGTATATATGCATGTTTAGCTTAGCGATGAATTCAGATTTCTGAGATTCTTAAGTGAAGTGTTACGGAATGTGGGAAATTAGGTCACTTTGTGCCCAATTATGCGAGCAATTATTTGCTAGGTGCTTAAAAAAGCATATGGGGTGAGCTTTGTGCTCAACTATATGAGAATTTGTTTACTGAGGACTTAAAAAGTGTGTAGGAAAATAGACGTTATCTTTTTTTCGCTCGTGTTGATGATGGTTTTGAGTTGCTTAAATTAATGCTGTAGGTTTTTGTAACATGCAGTAATCAGTTAACCGTATTTTACATTTATTTTCAAATGTATTTTTGTTTGATATTTCATCTTAAATTTACTGTTACCATAATTTTTTTTAAATTCATGCTTCCCTTTAAGGCATGTCTCATCCTAAGCAAATAACTCTTCAGGTCGTTGACGAAATCAATTTAACCTCATTTTACAATTTTTGCTATTTCATATTTACAGGTATCATAAAAGATCTTGGCAAATAATTCTTGAGAGCTTAATTAATTTAACCTCATTATCATAAAAGTTCATCTTTTAACAGGCATTCAGCAAAATAACATACATTGGTGTGCAAAAATTAAGGACGAAGTCGAAAAATTAGCATATCAGCTGAACGAAGAGGCAGAGCGGACAGAAAGACTAATCCCGAGATTAAGTAAGGTGATCTACGGTAGCACTTGCGCAGATATGCAGGTAGACATAATGGGGGAGTGTCTGAGTTGTATAAAGCATGTTCTCG